TCTGAAGTCTCAGGACAGTAATGAATCCTAAGCACTGAAGTCAGAACCAGATTGTGAATTTTGAAGTCAGAGTCAAGTTGCAAGTCATAAGCTTTGAAGTCCAATTAAAGTTGTAATTTATAATCTCGCAAGTCATACTATTTGAAGTCCAAGTCGAGTTAAAAAAAAAATCATAAGTTTTAAGGTCAAAAAGTGAATCATACGCTTTGAAATCAGAATCAAATTGTGAGCTTGCAGTCAGAGTTGAGTAAGAAGTAGTAAGCTTTACATTCTGACTCAACTTACAAGTCGTAACCTTTGGAGTCCAAGTAAGTTTGCAGTTTATAAGCTTTAATGTTCAAGGAAAGTTGGCAGTTGTAAGCTTTGAGGTGCTCTTCAGGGTCAGGTTGTCAGTCCAAGTCGAGATGTTGAAGTTTCACTCCAGTAATTAATCAAAAAAACCTTCAGTTTGTGATTATTATTATTATTATTCCCAACATGAAGTAACCCAAAGAACAGAGAAAAACTTTTTAGAAAGATAGCACTGAGATCAATATTTCTAAAATCGATAAAAGCTTATGATGGCTGGAAACTGGTGCATTGATGTGGAGAAAGTTTTGCTCTTAAAGCATCTTGAAACTCATACAGCAAATGTAATATTAATGTTTATAGATTTTACTCTGACATTTAATACAATAATCCTGCGCTTTTTAGCCAAAGGCTGTTGAACACAAGTGAAAGTGAACTTTATTCTGTTCCATAACACACCGTCTTTAATTAGAGCAACATCTTTATAATTACTGCAGAGAAATCCAACAGACACGTTAAAAAAAAAAAAAAAAAAAAAAACTTAAAGAAGGGGCCAAAAACACCAAAAAGCAGAAACTATGAAATGAAATGGAAAAAAAGGAAACCATTCATAAACTGCCATAATAAAGTGTGTATGTAAAATTTAACAGCTACGAAGTGTCCTGATAAGCAGATCACATACAACCTTTAAACTTTTTCATGTTTTTATGTTTTGTAGGTTCTCATTCATGACTGAATGATCAAAATAGCAAAAAAAAAAAAAAACATATACGTATATAAAAGCTGATACTGAATGTTAAAATGTATTGAATTTATCAATAAGGGCTTTTATAGTTGTCAAAGATTTCCCTACTGTTGGGATTGATTCTTAATTCTTTGTGTGTGTGTGTGTGTGTGCGCGCGTGTGTGTGTGTGTGTGTGTGTCTCCATAAATTGACATTGCATTAAAAATCAATCCAATAAAAAAAACATACATTCAGTTTCAAAATGTAAATGTATACTTAATAAATAGGTTTGTATTTTATTTTAAAGACACGAACATCTCGCTAAATGTTTTCATCTCTACAAACCTTCATTATATACTCACATTTCCGCCTGTTAATCTCATATCACACTACACTCTTGTACCTTCTAACTAGCTATCACAATACTTATTACACACAGTCAGTTAACCTACATGGTAGAAGCTTATCTGCTGAATACTGTGTCAGAGTATGTTATGTTTACCATCGCGGCATTTTTATTGTACTATCTTTTGCACTACTGTGTTATCTGACATTTCCACACTAGAACTGTGTACTGGTCTCTTACTGTGTCTGTTTGCACATGCGCTCTATGCAGTAATGTGTAGTCTCTTGTAGCTCGGCGTTGCTTATGTAGCACCATGGTCCTGGAGGAAGGTCGTTTCGTTTCACTGTGTGCCGTACCAGCTGTGTATGATTGAAAAGACAACAAAGCCACTCGGCTTGATAAATAACCGACTCATGTACAAGCTGACATTTTCCGATTTAAGCGTCTCCTTCTGTTGTTCCTGTGTATACTGAACTGATTATTACACAATTTGAGAAAAAAAAAAAAAAACCCTGAAAGCTATTAGTCCCTGCTTCTTCATGTTCTCCTTGTTAACAGAGTGTTGAACACACAGTTTCATTTAGAGCCGTAAACAGTCAATTCAAGGTGTGTGTTGCTTTTTTTTTTTTAAATGTCAATTAAATAAGGAGTAAAATGTATATTAGTATACAGATAGTGGGGTGGTGTGAAAATTGCTACGCTAACACACTGTGACAGGCGTATAATCATAGCTCTGTTTCGACAAGGACGTTATCAGCGCACCAAATTGGATTTTGGAGATGGGCGAGTCAAAGACAGAAAATGCAGCGCCAGAGCCAAAAATCTGTCTGTGTCTGATAAACAATACTTAAAGGTCATTTTCTGAACAGAGAGATGGAAATGTAGTTAAATGCTCGCTCAGCATCTGGCAGAGTGGACTGGCATCGAGACACGCGCTGGAACAGCAACGCTTAGAAGAAGTTGTGTTCGACCTGAGAAACGGATCGACTGCTCGGTAGACAAAACTGTTGTCGTGATCAATTTTCACGATATTTATCACGATGTAGAATCTCATAACACTGTCGCAGTCTTCATGTTCAGAAGGTGCTGAGTAATCTTCTATAACAGCAGCTCTGACAGTTGTGCAGCTTCAGATCACAGGTAATATGTTACCGTTTCTATAGTAACAGCTCATTCACAGGGACATGTATATGGTGAGCTCCATATGGAGAAGTTTTCTGTAAGAAGAAAGATGTTTATTGGTCGTTTATGGAAGGAGTCTCCAGTGTCAGCACTTTGAAATACAAGCAGTCAGAGGTGAAGCTGTAACTTTTTGAGTTTTCCGACATCTTCAGGACAGAGGAGTTTGTTTCTTTGTGGTTTCTCAGTAACATGAAAAGCTGCCTTTTTTAAAAAAAAAAAATTTTTTCTCTTATTAACTCAGACAGAGAGAAAAGAGAGGCTGGTGAAAGAATGCCTGTTTATAGCTGCTATAACGTAAGTAAGTAACTTGTTTTATGGGCTTTCCACAGCGTTAAATGTAGCTATAAATGGATAAAAAAAATTATGGTGTCATTCTTTAATAAGTAAAAAAAAAAAACGTATTTGTTGGCAAATCGCTGTGGTATAAGTGGAATAAAACACATGGGGACATGCTGTTAGAGAAATCACATCACCCCGTCGTTGATTATTTTTCTATAGCAGCGTGACACTGTGTGTGTTTTATTCATACGGTATACAAAATAATACGCAGCTACATTTTCATGACAACACTTGAACACAGTTCCAGTTAATTATCGTAAATGCTATCATTAGAATTATTTTTTATGAGTATCTTTTTTGTGTATCTTACAATTATTCTAACGCAAAAGATTATATATAGCATTTTTGTATCACTCCGTTGATTTTGACCAGATTCGATTTCAAAAAAAAAAAATAAATAAAAATCTCAACATCCGCCTCCTCCCAATATCTGTCAGGCTGAGGCACATCCTGGAAGTTGTGTGTGTTTCGAGGTTCTTTCTCTTTCTGTAAAAGTGTGCTGGTGTTAAACGCTGCCCCGAGCCTGATTCACCCAGTCGAGTGATTTATTACCCAATTACCACTCCAACTCAGCCGGCATTTACATATAAATATTTATCATCACTGCTGGATGCCCACATTCAATTCATTTCAGTTCCATTCATTTTACCACCAGTGTACAAGTACAAGCAAAAAAAAAAAAAAATTGAGTTATGCAAATAAACAGAAGAATATAAACAAACGGTAATGAAAGACACCGCTGAATGAGCAGTGCTTTATCTGAGCGTGAGGAATGCGTTTAACTGTTTCACAATGCTGACTGAATAAAGCCCATTCCTCTGACACACTTTACACTTATGTTTAAAACTATATTTGAAAATATATTCAAAAAAAAAAAACAGTGTATATTATACATAGCATACGTAACGCGTAATAATATTTATTATATAATTATTATATGAATCCGTACAGAAACGGGTACAATAGGAGAATCAGTGGCTTATTTATTACGATATCGTTCCTTAATTAATGATTAAGTACTTACTGACTGAGTAATCAAATGTTACCATGTTAGCTCCTCAATAATTACTAATCAGTACAATAAATTACTACACGGACTCAAGTGTAATGATTTAGTAACTAATCTTATATTACTGCGATCATGGATTGCTTAATGGTTTCTTAATTAATAATTAAGCACTTAATAGCTTCAGCCCAATTCATTTAATTAAAGATCAATTATTAAACTGTTATGCTTTGATTTAAGATAAGAGAGAGACGAGATAAGAGCGTTTATTTGTCATGTATACATTACAGTACAGTGAATTATTATTATTATTATTATTATTAATCTTCTTTTTTGGTATATCCCCTCTTGTTAGGAAGTTGGGGTCCGAGTGCAGGGTCAGCCATGACACAGTGCCCCTGGGGCACAGAGGGTTAAGGGCCGTTCTCAAGGGCAGTGGCAGCTTGACCTTCTGATCAGTGCACCAGTGAGCCACCACTAGCATCACTGTTTATTCCAGTAATGGAGAACTGATATGGAAATATTTTACTACATTTTATTAAGCAATTAACAACTAAAGCATTAATAAATGAGCTGTGAAACAATGTTATCGCATTAATGTAAGTTTAGTTACCAGTCAACATAGTAGTTTATTGTACTTCTTGTTGTTGTTGTTGTTGTTTAAGCTGCTCCTGTTAGGGGTCGCCACAGCAGATCCCCTTCCACTGATTTGGCACATTTTTTACTCCGGATGCCGTTACTGGAAACCCTCGAAACCCTAACCATTTATCTGGGCTTGGGACCGGCGCTGAGAGTGCGGGAGCCCGTGCACACCCAGTGGCTGGTGTTGCCAGCCAGCATGGGACTCAAACCCACAATCCTGAGATCAAGAGTACCATGCTGTACCAACTGAGCTAGCCAGGTACCATACGAGTTAATTGTACTGATTAGTAATTATTGAAGAACTACAATGGTAACACTTGATACTTACTGCTTAGTTAGTAAGTACTTGTTAGTAAGCATTGATTATGAAACTGTACTATAAAGCATTTCCAGTAAATTGTACTTGTATCTTTAATCTTAATCTCAATCTTAATCTCAATCTTACTCAAGTACGTAAAGACAGCGTGCTTTTAAATATGTAATGTAGTAATCTCCTGTTGAGCGTTGGTGCTACTTTTGTATGGCTGTTAATTGAAATATGGCTTGATGCAATGTCCTTTGTTGTCAGTTTTTGCTTTTACTATAGAAAAGATGGCTAGTTGACTTCTTTTCTGAAATAGTGACAGATCAGTAAAATCAGTAGTTACACAAACCCCTAATACGCTCCAAACCTTTACTCTTTTAGAGTCCATGTTACTACAATATGTTACCAAATGTATATATTTCTATTTAATGATTAACGTAAACCTGCCATTATTTATTTATTTCCTTTTTGTCGAACTTACTTATTTTACTTAAGTGGAAGTTCTGTTGATCTATCAGTTTTTTTTGTCGGTGTAGTTGAGGACAGGGATGTAAACTGAGTGCTAAACAGAGAGGTTCATCCAAAAAAAACACATCCAGCCTCCTGATTCATCACATTAGACATTGCACCAAAACCTCTTTCCATTTTAAAAAGCATTTCAAACCCATGCATGTGAGTGTAGTGTAAGCTTCATAGAAATCAACCAAAATCCCCAAACCACACTTTCCATATGCTGTGCATTTAATTTCAAATCATAATCTACAAACATGTCAGCATTGTGCAATCTGTAGCTGCATGTAATGATGTTCCTTACAATACCTGCAAATACACACTGGTTGTTCACTCTCTCTCTGTCTCATGCCACGCTTTTGGCTGGACGGTTTTGTAATTGCAGCTGACGGATCACTACAGATAAAACAAGTAATGGCGCAAGCTTAGTAATGAAGAGAACTCGAGAGGCAACAAGACTTAGCGATGTTGCTCCTCTTCTTTGGGCACTTTACATCCGGTCCGTTGTTTAAGCGCCTTCTTCAAGCAGTTTCTGTGCACCGAGGTGGCATCAGGAGCAGTTCTCCTCACTGTCTTCTTATATCCTATTATACAATCCTGTACAGTAGCGTGACTTACACACTGACGCACATTTATACAGGAAACTGTGAATGTAATGAGCAACGGGGTGAGGGGGCGTGGCTGAGAAGGCTGTCAGCGAGGGTTTCTGATAGCCCTCAGACGAGGCTTATTCTATTCAGTATCAAACATTAAACATTTAATATTTCTTCCATAGCAGAGTAAAAACCACCGCGAATGTAAATTCACCTCCTCGTAACGGAACGCTGGAGTTGCTTTTTTAAACCTTACAATCGAGGCGTGCTGTGTGTTCTCCTGCTTGTAGTGAGTATGGAAATGCAATGTTGAGACGTGTTCTGGTGTGGAATGATTGAGGTCTTGACTCGATGCTTGACGAGCCGTGTCCAGTGTGTATTCAGGGTAAGACCGCTGCTGCTGCCTTGATCTGTTTATCAATCTAACGCCCTCTTTTTACTTAACCTCCTCGAGAACCTCCAATCCCGGGACTTACAGAGAGTCATTGTTGTGCCCTTGAGCTAGACTCATCCACACACCTACATGCTTACTTTATATTCTGTCTCGAATGTGTCACTTTTTATAAAACCTTCAGCCAAGTAAATAAATGCAAACATTTTTATGCGTGATGGGATAAAAGCTTGGTAGTGGACTCTGAATGTTAAACCTTACTCCACATTAGCATGCAGCGAGCGTCCCTGTAAGACAGCGCCGTCGGTGGTTCGCCAGTGCATGCATTCATTTTTGAAAAACAGAGGTCTTGGCTTGTCTTCCAGCCCTAATAACAAGAGGATGGCCGAGGGCTGGGTGCTTCCCTCAGGGTTCCGCGCTCAGGTTTTCTCTCCCGCCATCAAAGACAGACATGGAAGGAAGATGTGGTTTGGATTTATTCAAGAAGCCAAACAAAGGTGGATGAAAGTCCTGTCACATCTTCCTGTAGGTCTCACTCGCTCGTTCCGTCCGCCTCTCAGTGAGCTTTTGGCTGACAGCGGAGACCGAAAATATTTAAAAAAAATATATATGTACACGTGTGCACAAAGCAAGACATCAGATAATTCCCAGGTATTCCCAGGACATTCCTTCATATGTGATTAGAATAATAAGACGATTATCTCTAAAATGATTGTTGAAGGTAATTCCGAGCTGCTGACAGTTTTTGGAAAACAATATCCAAGCTAGGAAGTTTGTATTAGCTTCATGCTCTTCTTCTTTCTTGATGGAGACTACCGCACACTTTGAATAAACGGAATAAAGATAAAATATAAATGTTAATATCATTAAAATCTTTCAGCGTTTTTTGTGTTTATTCAAATTTTCATTTTACGGTTTGTAAATCACTTTCTGATATTTCTGACTGTGTGATTGCTACAGAACCAAAATAAGGTTATTAAGCCTATCTCTAAACATATTCACCGCCTTATTAACAAGTTTAGTCATTGTAACAAGTTTAAAATGACTTACCTTTAGAATAAGACAATTTCTTGAAATTAGGAAAAATGTCTTCTGAGTAAGTATAATAAAACACAGTGTGAGCGGTGCTGTTACTGGAGAATAATCAATGACTCTGTGGTGGAAATAAATATTTTATTCCTCTTATGCCACAGCAATTTGCCCACTGATTACATTTTTTTTTTTTATTAAATGAAAAATTACACATCATACTTTTGATTCACTTCTTGTTACATTTCATGTCTTAAACGTTAGTTCCTGTTGTCACTTACGTCATAGCAGCTATAAACAGTTGTTCCCTCACAAGAATGTCTTTTTCTCTTTTTCTCTCTCTTTCTCTCTTTGTCTCAATAAGACAAAAAAAAAAAAACACAGCTTGGAAAACTTAAAGTTACAGCTTGACTTTGTCCACTTTAGTGTTTTAAAAAAAAATGTCAGATTTTGAAAAATACTGATTAGATAGTTTTGCCATGTCAAGATTTTGACACTTATTTCCAAAAAAAACAAAAAAAAATGGAATGAAAAGGAAGTATTACTGAAATCAAATACAACTAATGCAATTCTGAGAAATAGCCAGGAAATATTTGCACCTTCTCTGGAGGCTTAGTAATCCTAAAGGTTCTTCTCAGGGTATGAAGACTTGAGCTCCTTTGAGTTTTTCTGTTTTTCTTTTCCTTTCCTACTGAACCTGTTTGCTGCATGCAGCCTCCTGGCTGATGGTTACCATGGCATTACTTTAAAAGCTCTGTGTGTACCCACAATCCTCTGCTCCAAGCCAGCAGAGGAGAGCAAACACAAGAGACACATGCACACAGGAGAGATTTGAGCCCTGGCCTTTTATTTATTTAATTTTCATTTAATCACAGGGATGATTGTCAATCGTCGAAAATAAAGTGCTGGAGGATTTTACAGGGCCATCTGTCTCATTTTAATAAACACTGTTAGTCTGATTGTATTTTTCATGTTTCATTTTCAATTTGCAGTGAATTCAGTGGTTATTACCAGAGAAAGGCATCAATTCCTTGTTTTTTGTTTTTTTTTGTTGTTGTTTTTTTTCCCGCATTTGTGTACAGCAGTCATTATTAATTTAGGGTTCGTATTTTGTGAGAAATGTAATTACTGACTCGAGGAGCATTTTCCAAATCATGCACTTCAGCTGAATGAAAAAAGCTGGTGAGTGGGTGTTATTAATTTCTCAGGAGACACGAATCGATGCGACAAGCTTAATTAATGTTTTTTGGTTGAGTCTTCAGGGTGAGTTTCCTTCAGGGCATGTCCAGAATCTGCTAAGTGACATGTCTCACAATCAACAAATTAAATTTAGGGCCAATTAAGCACAAAAATGACATCAATATGTGCATGGAGAAAGTTCCTGGTATTCAGAGACGGGATATGCAGCTGCTTGAAGCCAAGCTCTGAGCTCCACATTCAGATTATTAACATCGCCTGCATGTAGTTCATGCCTCTGAGAGTTTTCCTGAGTAGAAATGTCTGAGACGGAGGTTTTTTTGTAAACACTAACACTTGCCTTCAAATATGAAAAAAAAAAAAAAAAAAAAAGTAGAAAATGCGGACTGAAGCAGGAAATAGCATTTTTTTTTCCTTTTACTGTTAAATGTAATATGATATAACAAAAAAGCAAGAGACAATTCAGAAATGAAAAAAAAAAAGATTTATGGTATGAATGAGAAGATGCCGAGTGTTGAAACAAATCAAATCGGAGTCTAGTATATTGCCAATATGTTGCTGCGTAAATAGCCCTAGTTGTAATGATCACATTAATCACTGCAAATTTGTTGAAATTTAACAAAATGGCTTCCACACTCATTATTCAGCAGCACATAGAATAGCACTTGATCCAGCACATCCTTTTGCCGCGACAGTTAGTTGAAGTTACGGGAGCCACGAGATACAAAACTGAGGTCACGAAATCGTAATGTGTGTAAAAACCAAAACATTTCATTGACTTTAAAAAAAAACAACAATTTTTAATTAATTAATAATGTCATATTTATGTATTTAATATTACTAATTTACTCAAACTTGGCCCCTGTTATGTCGGAGGTATAAAAAATGATGCGTTTTATTTTCAGTGTTAAATCCTCAGTAAGTGTTTTTGACTCAATTCTAAATACAATAGGTATAAGAGACATAGAACATGAGTTAGAAATGTAGAGGAAATAGCTGTTGCCTCTCTATGACATTGTTTACGCTACAAGACTCCTGTGTGATTTAGACGTTATTTGTAAAAATCAAACTATGTTTGGAAATATGGCAATGCCTCCAATCTTTCTGGAGTGAAATTTTAATGCTTAACATTGTTTAATTTATTAGTGGTGGGAATTTCTGCTTCTTGTTGGAGGACTGGATAAATGAGCCACAAACTCTCTCGCATTGCGAAGTCTTGCCATTGTTTTTCTTTGTG